AATAGAGGGTGATAAGCTTTATGCGTTTTATTCTGGTCAACCAATCAAATATGAACAACATCAAATTTAAACTAAGCGAGACCTCTTTTAAATTAGATATTACGAGCCCTCACTTAAATTAAATGTTACGAACGTTGGAATTGTACTGTATCCGTTCTTATCGTACCTATATATATATATATATATATATATATATATATATAAATTCAGAGTTGTCATTCCCCTAGACCAGTTGCCATCCAAGGCTATAGAACCCAGTCTGCCCTGCTATTTACCCATAGCTGGAGGGAGAAGAAGAGGATTCATACCTTTCCCAAGGGTATTAGTACGTAAGTGAATGTAATGGATTCGACTGGAATTCGAACTCGGCTCTCCGATTCCTCAATCCAAGCCATTATCCGGGTCGTTTGGGGACCTTGTGGCACTTAGTGCACCAGGTCTCTGTATTCGACCCTTCAAAATGTGTGGATGGTCCTGCACGAAACCTTCACAACTATAATCAAAATCTCATGTGCCGGTGTCGGGCTGTCGGTTTCCTAGGAACTGATCTGCTCGACCCTCATACGTCGAATTCGACGGGTGAGTCGTTTACATATATATATATATATATATATATATATATATATATTGGGTCCTCCACTTTTTCGGTAAAAATTTTCGATACCTAACTTTAAAATAAATTTTTAAAAATGAAAAAACATGCTTGAAGATTTCATTTTAGCTTTAATTGAAAGTTTAATCATTAAATTTATTATTTCCATTAAGTAAACAATTCTGCTGTATTTCAGATCGAAACTATATACATTGGAATGTCAAATTTAATTTGGGAATTTTAAATTTTCTGAAAAACCCGCCATTTTCTTAATTTTTTGAAATTTGTAAACAAACACAAATTTATCGATTTTAAAAAAATATTTAAAAAAGTTTCTGACACGTTATTTTAGTAAAATTAGAAAATTTAAAGTTAAAATAATCTGATATGAAACAAACAGTACTTACTTATAGCTTAAAAAATTTGTATCCAAACATTTCTTAACGATGTGTCTGAATTTTTTGCATGTCTTTTATCGAGTTCGCAATTGACGAGGCGATGACAGACAGCTACGGATGATCAAAATTGACAAATTTTTAAAAGTAGGCGAACGCGGATTTTCGTTTTTAACTAGTACTTTTTAAATATTAACATTTTTATTCAGCAATTATGTACTATTTATTTTTTATTTCATACTTTCTTAATTAGACAATTGTTTAAATTTTTTAAATCATCACATAATTGTTTAAACTTTTCTTATTAATTACATAATTGTTTAAACTTTCTTATTAATTACATAATTCTTTAAACTTTTTTATTAATTAGATAATTATTTAAACTTTTTTATTAATTAGATAATTCTTTAAACTTTTTTATTAATTAGATAATTCTTTAAACTTTTTTATTAATTACATAATTCTTTAAACTTTATTAATTAGATAACACGTTAACGATGTGGATCTGAACTGGACAGAGAAGAGAAATAACTGCGCTGCCAGATGACACAAATCACGTGACCTTTTTAAGGATTATGTCGCGTATATATTTCCATACACAGAAATTATGAACGTTTTTCAATAAAAATTTATTTTTAAAATTATTTTTAAAATATTTCTGTTTAAACGACTGTTATGTGCTTTTCAAAGTTCGATTCGTAAATTTACATTTACATTAACATTATCATTGCATTACGCGCACTAAAGAAATAAAGAATTTTAAACGATTTTTGAAGTATTAAGACGTTAATGAAAAAAATTTTTAAAATGTGGAAAAAATTTGCAAAAAATACATTATTCATCGAAAAAATTTTATTTCTTCACAAAATAATGTCCTTAGTATAACGTATCTACAAAGACAGGTGAAAGCTTTTCTAATTAATTAAATGTCATACTTTTTTACATTTTTTTTTTTTACAATTCAAATCTGATTTTCTATAATTCAGTCATGTTTTACAAAAAAAAGAACTGGTGATTTACTTTCTACAAAGATTCCTGTTTATAACTAATAAAAAAAATCCCGCGAGCTCAGATTTAATTTCTTGAAATTTCATGAAAATATGTAAGTGGGTGGAAACATGTTAAAAAAAAAAATCTCTTTTTAACAAGATTTTCTGAAAAAAAAATTTCAAAAATAATTTCATTCATTTCTGAATAAGTCCTGAAAGTTTCATTAAAATCCAACAATTATTTGATTTTTGCAAGAATTTCCTAATTAACGTGTGTTATCCTCTGGAAAAGCGCAAAATAAAACAAAACTTTTTTTAGTTTTCTCGCGCTGTCGTAAAAGAAAAACATAATTTTTAACCAAAATTTTCTCCATGCTAGAAAGGAGTAAAAAAATTCAAAAAATATTTAAAAAATACTTTGGTCTTTCCTCTTCATAACAACATAAACATAATTTAAACAAAACTTTGTTTTCGTTGATTTATGAGTCTTTTTTTTCATCGTGATATGCCGCTTTTTTTTTACGTAATGGACCTAATGGATATATATATATATATATATATATATATATATATATATATATATATATATATATATATATATATATGTTCTAATAGCCTTGGGAAAGGTATGAATCCTCTAGCGCACCAGGTCTCTATATTCGGCCTTTCAAAAAGTGTGGATGGTTCAGCACAAAGACTTCACCGCTATAATCAAATCACATGTGCTGGTGTCTGGCTGTCAGTTCCTTGACCCTCATACATCGAATACGACGGATGAGTGCTACACTATACTATACTATACATCACCCAATGAAAGGAAAAAATACAAAATAACTGCCGGCATAAAATAAAATATATTTCATCACAAACGGTAATTTGAGGTGTGTAGCAAATATCTAATATGTGTATTAAAAAATGTTATGTATGTATGTATGCATTCATGTGTATATATATATATATATATATATATATATATATATATATATATATATATATATATATATATATATATAAAAAAAAAACAGACCACTTTAAGGTTCCATTATAATAATTTATTTCACCAGAGCCCTTTTAAAGGACGCCGGACCATCAGATAGCACTTCCAAAAAAATGAAATGAAAAATGTTCTCAAATATATGCATATATAATTATACAGATTTATGGGCTCTCAAACACCAACGCTAAATCTCAACCCGCGTGTATTCATGAACCTTATATATATATATATATATATATATATATATATATGTTTTATGTGTACATGCTTCTTTACATAAATCTCATACTTATTGTTTTTTTACACGTATGTATGTGATATTATAATAACCTTCCGAATTGCGAGGAATAATTCAGAACTTATACTGGGAGCAAACTGACAAGATATGGATAGAAAATGAATTCAGTAAATACACAAAATTAGAAAGGGGTGTAAGACAAGGATGTGTCTTCTTACCGGACTTATTAACAATGACACGATCATGAGAAAATTACTACCTACGATTTATCATTGGCAGCCACAAACTTAGCAACATAAGATATGCTGATGACACACAGAGCATTTAGATTAGACACAGAAAGGAAACTAAATGAACTCCAATAAAATTTAGTAAAGAAAAGAGAGATGAAAGGACTATTGTAAGAAAACAGAATACATGATTGTCGACAAAACGGCCAGCCGAAGATACAAACTACAAATTGTTGTTATCAAAATGAAGCAAGTACAAAAATCTATAAATGCGATACTGGAATCCGAAGAGGCATTACGACAGTAAACGATGCCTTCCAGAAGTTAAGCAGGTATTAAGAAACAAGAGAAAAGGCTACTGAACTGTTATGTAATATCGGTCCTACTACATAGCTATGAGTACTGGATAATCAATCTCCACACAGATGAAGAAGAGAATTGAAGAAACAGAAATGTGGTTCTACAAAAGGAAGAAGACTATGGGCGGAACAATGATGATGTTTTAGAGACAATGGCAACAAAAAGGACACTAACACTTAACATCAGGAAGAAATAATTGAAATTTTAGGGCATATAATGAGGAAAGCTAGCTTAGAGAATTTGGCACACACAGGACATAGTGAAGTTAAGAGGAAGGGAGGGAAACTTCTTACCATGCTTATCTGAATGGTTGGTAGAACAGAGATTAGGAGAAAGAGCAAAAAGACCAACTTTACAAAGAGCACGAAATCGTGGAGAGCCATGATCATCCTTGACACACAGAAAAAGGATGCAATATTCTTAGTTGATATCTAATTATATATATGTACATACATATGCGTGTTACTTGGGCTTTGTGTAATCTTACTAAATTGCATATACATGCGCAAACTTACGCACGTTTACAAAGGCAGAAATACATCCTCTACGTAATCATATGCACACATTTATCCACAGAGAGAACCACTTACACGACAAACTCTGATAACACGCTTACCATACATAAAAAGTGTAAGTTTTAAACTGATTTACATGGGTACACACACACACACACACACACACACACACACACACACACACACACACACACACACACACACACACACACACACACATATATATATATGTATATATATATATATTTCTCCGGGCGATCACATTTATATACGAATGTCCAATCGTATATATTCGCTGTTTCTTTTTTTACGCGCATTCATATCTACGCGCCCTCAAATGCGCAAATACATTCATGATTTTTTTTCCAATTCCTCTGATATTTTTTGTCTTTGTTTTCAATCGTTCTTTGCATTTTACTTTCCCTTCGTAAAGTTTTATTATTATTATTATTATTATTATTTATTATCATTATTATTATTTTTATTTTTATTATTATTATTTTTATTTTTATTATTATTATTTTTATTTTCATTTCAATTTTTCTCGGTTTTCTGCAAATGTTTATTCAGCATCATTTTCTTGCTCTCCGCTTTTTTCTTAATATACGTATATATATATATATATATATATATATAGAGAGAGAGAGAGAGGGGGGGTAGAGAGAAAGAGAGAGACAGAGAGACAGAGGGACCGAGAGAGTCAGAGACCGACAGACAGACAGACAGAAAAATTCTGTTACATAGATAGATAGATAGATAGATAGATAGATAGATAGATAGATAGATATGAACAGGAAAAAGATAGATAGATAGATAGATAGATAGATAGATAGATAGATAGATAGATAGATAGATATGAACAGGAAAAGAAAAGACAGATAGATAGATAGATAGATAGATAGATAGATAGATAGATAGATAGATATGAACAGGAAAAAGATAGATAGATAGATAGATAGATAGATAGATAGATAGATAGATAGATAGATAGATAGATACTGAATACCATTCTAATTCCCCAATCGTTCAAATCATTCTTCTTTCTTTCTTTTTTTCTTTCTTTCTTTCTTTCTTTTTTTCTTTCTCCCGCTTGATTTCCCCATCTCCACACCACTTTGTGTCGACGAGAGGAAAACCAGGGTCTCCATGGCTTCAGCAAATATCCTAAGATGACAACCCGTTACGCGTGTTTACAGGTGTGACAGCCGTGTTGGCCATGATGGATGCTGAAATGGAAGAGGACTCAATAGACACAGGGCATGGGGAGAAGGGTAAATGATGTTGGGTAGGAGTTCGGAGGAGGTGGGAATGATGGCGAATGAGTAAAAGAGACATAAAAATATGAAGATGTAAATGAAAGTGAGAAGTCTAGATGGAGAAGAAGTAAAAAATTAAGAAACAATGGCTAGGAGATGGAAAAGCTGGGCTTCCAAAATATCGTTGGGGATAAATGTGGAGTGGAATCCAGAGATTGATTGTATTGGGAAAGGGATTGGACAAGTGAATGAAGTGTTTGTTGTGGGGAGGAGGAGTCAGGTTGGAATTGGAATTGGAGGGGAGGTCTGGAGAGATGGATGGAAGTTATGAAGCTTGCAAAAAAGAGTTGATAGTATGGTGAAGGGAAAAAGGGTGTGATGGTGTTGGTGGACGGATCGGTTAAGAAGATAAATAATACGTAGAAAGATACTATTTTCAGAAAGGCAAAAAGTATTGCTAGAATCGATAGTATAAAATCCGGTAAATAATGTAGAAGAAAGAAAGAAAGATACAAAGAAAGGCAACAAAAAGAAATGTAGTAGCAAATACAAGAAGGAAAGGAAGAAAAATTGGGAAAGAAAGAAAGAAACAAAAACAAGAAAAGAAACAAAGAAAAATCTAAAAAAAAAGAAAAGAAAAAAAACTGAAGCAAAGAAAGAAATGCTGAGTAAGAATGAAAACAAGAAATATTGAGAACGAAAAAACAACAAAAAACAAGTGAAAAGAAATGCTGTGAAAGAAGAAAAGCAAAAAAAAAAAAAATTAAAAATGAAAGCGAGAAAAGACAAAAAAGAAACGATGAAAAAAGAAAGAAACGACGAAAGAAAGAAAGAAAAAGAAAGAAAGAAAAAAGAAAGAAAAAAGAAAAAAGAAAGAAAGAAAAAGAAAAGAAAGAAAGAAAGAATGAATGAAACGACGAAAGAAAGAAAGAAAGAAAAGAAAGAAAGAAAGAAAGAAAGAAAGAAAGAAAGAAAGAAAATGTTTGGTCAGTATTTTAATAAGTAATAATACTAAAAGTAATATGAAAATCAGACAAATGAAATATTTTCTTAATAAAAACAATGCTTCACTGTTGAGATTGACTTACTGAATAACAAGAAGTGATTTAGGATGAAATCCAAAAAGATGTCGAAATAAATTGCAGAAGACAAAAAAATAGAAAAATTATTAAAGGATGTATAATACATTCTTTCTCTCTCTCTCTCTCTCTCTCTCTCTCTCTCTCTCTCTCTCTCTATATTTGTATATATATATATATATATATAGAGAGAGAGAGAGAGAGAGAAAGACCAAGGGATGTTGAAACGCTTCTGGTCCCAAAAAATAGGGATCCAGAAAAAATGTTTGCTCATTTGATCAAATTTTGGAAAGTTTGTTAACCCGAGATATCTGCTACCATCATACAGGACACACACACACACACACACACACACACACACACACACACACACACACACACACACACACACAGATAGATAGATAGATAGATAGATAGATAGATAGATAGATAGATAGATAGATAGATAGATAGAGACAGAGGGACAGAGAGAGTCAGGGACAGACAGGCAGAGAGAAAAATTCTGTTAGATAGATAGATAGATAGATAGATAGATAGAGATAGATAGATACAGATAGATAGACAGATAGATAGATAGATAATGAAGAGACTGAGATAGATAGATAGATAGATAGATAGATAGATAGATAGATAGATAGGAAATATGTGCTTTTCATGCAGATATGAATATCAGTGCATTAGTATCCTTGTGTACTCTCTTTCTCGCTCTCCCTCTCTATTTTTCTGTATTTCTTTCCCCCTCGTCCCCCTATTTCTCTCCTCTCACCCTATCTACTCGTCAGTTTATATCACTCTTTCACACTTCTCTTTCTCCTTGCACCCTCTTTCTTCTTTTACTACTACTGCTTCTCTCTCTACCCCTCACTCTCTCTTTCCTAATACATATATAAACATATATACTTTTTGTATAAATTCATCAATTATTATATATTATGTGTTTGTATGCGGAGTATGAGCCATTTCGAAAGTGTTTGGGGCTTCAATGTATGTAGAATGTATGTACGCCTCTTTGCACACGCATGTGTATGTGGTGTAACGAAGTTTACTCTTCGTGAAAATATAAATACAATTCATATTCCTTTGAATTTCATGTCACAATATTTCTATCTCTTCTTCTTCTTCTTCTCCCCCTCCTCCTCTTCTCTCTCTCTCTCTCTCTCTCTCTCTCTCTCTCTCTCTCTTTCGTCTGAAAATTTTTTCGATCCTCATCTAAAAAATTCTAAAAAATGCTGATGTCTTGTCATTTGGTACAACTTCCAGCTCATATAAAAGAAACGAGGTTGTTTCATGAAATTCGAAATATAGAAAAAAAAAAACAATTATTCTTATAGAAATTTGATCTTTTGGCTCGTATAGTGGTTTTCCAAGCATAGCTTAGATGTGGCACAAGGCCGAAATTAGGGGGTACCCAGTGAGAATCGAACTCACTACTGAGTCATAATTGTTCTAGCGAGGCAAGCTTGCTAACCATTAAACCACATCGAGGCGCGCCCTGTTGGCTTGTATAGTGTGCTCAGTATGTATGGTGTGCTTACAGTGCACTGTAGGTTTCACTATCTAACACTGTGGTGGGTTTGTGTTCACATCATTTTTTTGCACGTTTATAATGTTGTCAGATCTCCCAATGCAAGTGTTTCCCCACCATATTATGTCTTTCTCTATATATATTAAGTTGTAGCTTCTGTCTGTTTTTCAGTTATCAAACTGTTTTTTTTCGCTCATTTAGAAATTTGGGAGATAGTATACTCCCATGCAAAAAAATAGATATTCTGAAACAAAGTGGTCAAATCCAAAGCGGTTTTTTTTCCTTTATTTAATTAGATTTATTTGAATAAGAATATAGGTTTTCAAAATTTAGGATGAGCAAAATCCTCAGTGGAGGTGGGAGTCATAAATCACCCACTGTTTTTTTCGCTTTGATTTAAATTAGATTTAAATTGGAATAAGGGAATATAGAGGTTAAATCAGCAAGGATCAAAATGAGACAAAATGGACGTTAGGTTGAGCAAGAAATCCAAACTCAGTGGGTAGTGCCTTACAATATACATTTGATGCGACAATTCAACTGTCTTATCAATGTTGAAATCTGCTTATCAATTTATTCAATCAAGTATTGCATCAAATACATATCAAAAGTGGTCAAATCAAGCAGTTTTGCATACCCCCACTGAAAACGTGTTACCCTTTGATTTAATTTAAATTTAAATTTGAACAAGGGAATGACCAGAATATAGATGTTAAATCAGCAAGGATCAAAATGAGACAAAATGGACGTTAAGTTAAGCAAGAAATCCAAACTCAGTGGGTAGTGCCTTACAATATACATTTGATGCGACAATTCAACTGTCTTATCAATGTTGAAATCTGCTTATCAATTTATTCAATCAAGTATTGCATCAAATACATATCAAAGTGGTCAAATCAAGCAGTTTTGCATACCCCCACTGAAAACGTGTTACCCTTTGATTTAATTTAAATTTAAATTTGAATAAGGGAATGACCAGAATATAGAGGTTAAATCAGCAAGGATCAAAATGAGACAAAATGGACGTTAGGTTGAGCAAGAAATCCCAACTCAGTGGGTAGTGCCTTACAATATACATTTGATGCGACAATTCAACTGTCTTATCAATGTTGAAATCTGCTTATCAATTTATTCAATCAAGTATTGCATCAAATACATATCAAAGTGGTCAAATCAAGCAGTTTTGCATACCCCCACTGAAAACGTGTTACCCTTTGATTTAATTTAAATTTAAATTTGAATAAGGGAATGACCAGAATATAGAGGTTAAATCAGCAAGGATCAAAATGAGACAAAATGGACGTTAGGTTGAGCAAGAAATCCAAACTCAGTGGGTAGTGCCTTACAATATACATTTGATGCGACAATTCAACTGTCTTATCAATGTTGAAATCTGCTTATCAATTTATTTAATCAAGTATTGCATCAAATACATATCAAAGTGGTCAAATCAAGCAGTTTTGCATACCCCCACTGAAAACGTGTTACCCTTTGATTTAATTTAAATTTAAATTTGAATAAGGGAATGACCAGAATATAGATGTTAAATCAGCAAGATAAAAATGAGACAAAATGGACGTTAAGTTGAGCAAGAAATCCCAACTCAGTGGGTAGTGCCTTACAATATACATTTGATGCGACAATTCAACTGTCTTATCAATGTTGAAATCTGCTTATCAATTTATTCAATCAAGTATTGCATCAAATACATATCAAAGTGGTCAAATCAAGCAGTTTTGCATACCCCACTGAAAACGTGTTACCCTTTGATTTATTTTAAATTTAAATTTGAATAAGGGAATGACCAGAATATAGAGGTTAAATCAGCAAGGATCAAAATGAGACAAAATGGACGTTAAGTTGAGCAAGAAATCCCAACTCAGTGGGTAGTGCCTTACAATATACATTTGATGCGACAATTCAACTGTCTTATCAATGTTGAAATCTGCTTATCAATTTATTCAATCAAGTATTGCATCAAATACATATCAAAGTGGTCAAATCAAGCAGTTTTGCATACCCCCACTGAAAACGTGTTACCCTTTGATTTAATTTAAATTTAAATTTGAATAAGGGAATGACCAGAATATGAGACAAAATGGGTTATATCAAGAAATCCCAAGGAATCAAAATGAGACAAAATGGACGTTCAAGGTTGAATAAGCATCAAATAACTGGTCAATTCAATGGGTTTTGCATACCCCACTGAAAACGTGTTATTTCATATTTGTTTTAAATTTAAATTTGAATAAGGGAATGTCATATTAAATGTTGAAATCTGCTCATCAATTCATTCAATCAAGTATTACATCAAATACATATCAAATGTCAAATCAAAGTTTTTAGCACCCCTTTAAATTTGAATTATTGGTTTATTCAAGATATCTTTCAAGAACTGTGGTTATAATTTTGTCAATGTTGAAATCCAATTTATTGAATCATTCATCAAATCTATTTCCATCAGTTTTGCCCTACTTTTTGATTTAATTTAAATTTAAATTTGAATAAAGATACAGTTAAATCAGCAAGGATCAAAATTTTCTTTCCCAAAGGAAAATTCTACTGTCAATATTCCAATTCATTCAATCAAGTATTGCATCAAACATCGTATGGAGTTTTTTTTTTGGGGGTTCTGAAAAGGGTTTTGATTTAAAATATATTACGGTCTTAATCAGTTAAAGGATAAAAATGAGACAAAATGGACGATTTATTTAATTTACTTTTATTCATCAGTCTTAGGTAAATATATTTTTTTTTTAGATAATCAAAGTGGTCAAATCAAGCATACCCCCATGAAAATACCCCTTTGATTTAATTTAATTTAAATTTGAATTTGACCAGAATATAGAATTTAAATCAGCAAGGATAAAAATGAGACAAAATGGACGTTAAGTTGAGCAAGAAATCCCAACTCAGTGGGTAGTGCCTTACAATATACATTTGATGCGACAATTCAACTGTCTTATCAATGTTGAAACGACAATTTATTATCATATTGCATCAAATACAATCACACTGAAAATAACCTTTGATTTAATTTAATTTAAATTTGAATGGAATGACCAGAATATGAGTTTAAATCAGCAAGGGACAAAATGGAAAGGAATATTCAATACGTGCCTTTGATTTAATTTATTTATTTTGCTTGGATGTCCGTACGTTAGGTGAAAAATTCTTCAATAATAGATAATTTCTCGGTATTTTAATTGGTGATATCTTTCAAGAACTGTGGGGTAATTTCAGATCAGTTGAATTCAGATACAGTTGATCAGTATTTTTTCTTTGAAGAGGGGAATATTTCGTATGGATCAAGCATTAAAAAATACGGTCTTTTTCATTTAACTTTTTTTCAGTTAAAACAAAATTCAATATATGAATAATTTCCGTTGATGCTTTCTAAGATTGACTTATATCATATTGAAACACCAATAAGTAATAATCACTTAGATGGGTGACCCCTACGTCTTGGATGTCCTTTGTAATAGATAATGGCTCGGTATTGTTAATCTCGGGTTTTATAGGGATATATTTCTATGCATTGAAATCTACTTTTGTTAAAACAAAATTATCTCCTTTGCCGTAACTCCATTTTCCATCTTTTTCCTTTTCTTTTCCCCCTTCCATTTTTCCTTTTCTTTTATATCATTTCCTATATTATTTCCGTTTGACCATCTAAATAGATCATGATTAGGTCCTCCTCATACCCCAATATAAAACATGCTTAAGAGAAAATGAAATTTACCCCTCCCTATACTCTACCTTGTCTCGTTAACTACAAATATCACCCTCCCTGTTAAATTACAAAAATTACACTACCCATCAATTTCTAATCCCATTTTCCTTTTCATTTCGTTGTTGGAAGTGTTACCTGATGATCCGGAGTCCTTTAAAAGGATTTTGGTGAAATAAATTATTGTAATGGTACCTTAAAGTGGTCTGTTTTTTCATTAATTATATATATATATATATATATATATATATATATATATATATATACTTGTGTGTATTTAGGTAGCATCTTTTCATTCATACACGTTTCATTAAATAATATAGACAAGTGTTGTCTATTTATTTTATGTAAATTTTTTTCGTAACATCTGATAAGTTTAATAACATTATCGTT